TGTTGGTGTTGTTGTGCCATCTGCTATTGCTTCTGAAGATGGTGTTGGTGTTGTTGTGCCATCTGCTGTTGTTGCATCTGAAGTTGGCGTTGGTGTTGTTGTTCCATCTGCTGTTGTTGCTTCTGAAGATGGTGTTGGTGTTTTTGTTCCATTTGCTGTTGTTCCATCTGAAGACGGTGTTGGTGTTGTTGTGCCATCTGATGTTGTTGCTTCTGAAGATGGTGTTGGTGTTGTTTTTTCATTTGCTGTTGTTCCTTGTGAAGATGGTGTTGGTGCGGTTGTTTCTGCTGTTATTGCTTTTGAAGATGGTGTTGGTGTTGTTGTTCCATCTGATGTTGATGCTTCTAAAGTTGGCATTGGTGCTGTTGTTCCATCTGCTGTTGTTGCTTCTGAAGTTAGTGTTGGTGTTGCTGTTCCATTTGCTGTTGTTCCTTCTGAAGTTGGTATTCCTGTTGTTGTTTGTGTTGATGCTGTAGCTCCTGTTGTTATTGTTTCTGGTGCTGCTGTTGTTACTGCTTGTGATTTTGTCTCTGTTATTGGTGCTGCTTGTAATGTTACTGTTCCTGTTGTTGCTGCTTCTAATGTTGTTTCTCCTGTCGTTGCTTCTGTTGATGCTTTTGATTGTGTTGTTGTTGTAACTGGTGTCTTTGTTTCTTCTGTTGTTGTTTCATTATTTTCTGCTGCTCCTATTACTGGTGTTGTTGTTCCAGCAATTCCTGGTGTAGATTCTGTTGTTTTTCCATCCATTGTTGCAGAGTCTGCTGCTTTTTCAGAAGATTTTTCATCTGTTATTGTTGTTCCCTGTGCTTTCTCATCAGATATTTTTTGCACAGCACCTGATAGAGAAGAGATAACACTATATTTATTAGTAGAAGTAGCCACTCAAGCACGTATCTACCCATCTTATCAACCAAGTACATAACCAATCGCTGTGTTAATCAATGACCATCCAGCTATTATGCTAAGTACCTATTATTCGCCTTAATAAAAAGGAAATACCTATCCTAAACATGAAGAAATACATCAAAATAGAGTATTTTTGAGTTTTCTGTGGACTAAAAAAGAAAAGGGGAGAAAACGAAAGCAAAAAAATAACACCTTTTTAAGTATTCAACTGTCCTCTTTACCCTTATTAGTATTCAACTATATGACCACACAACGTTTTACCGGTGGTCAGTGCTAGTCTGGGAGCCCCCCAGGGGTTCTCTGAGATATAGTATCTTCCCTCACAGGAAGTGCCAAGACGAAAGTGAAAGTAATGCTGTCTCAAATAGTATCATCTATCAATGTTAATACTATTAATGCTTACTATTCAATGTAATGGAAAAACAAACAATCAAATGAAAGCCGATAGATAGAACGGTTTTATGAAGAGCGAGTCATAAGGAAAATTGATAAACAATATTCTGACACGGTTGAACTATTTCAACATCAAGCGCAATATATTTTGCTTTTTTCTTCCTCACAAGTCAATTGACTTGACTATTCACAAAGCAAGACATTCTGCAAGGTTTTTCAATGCTTTATAGATAGCAATTTATCGTCAAATTAGAACAACTTCAATTTTAATAGCAGAAAGCTCATACTAAAAAAATGTGTCTGAGCCGGTAAATGAAAATTTATTACGTAGAATGGTCGAATGAGTCGAAGCAAGTACGATGTTTGAAATTATATTATTAATCAGCTTTTTAGTCTAAAGTTATTAGACAACTTGTCGATATTTTCTTCTGTCAGCTATGTTTTGGTAATCTTTAGTTGGAAGTAATATTATCAAATATAGAGGAATATAGAGGAATCTTCATCGTGCATTTTATTATATTTTAATATATTATTTTGAACAATTCATCTAACGAATAAAAGACTTACTTTCGCTAGAGGAAGCTTGTACATTCTCGGTAGATTGAGTGATTGTAGCTTGGATATCTTTTGCGTCTCCATTGAAAGTTGTGTCTTCGCCTATCGCCGAACCACATATTGGGCACCACTTAAATTCTGAAGGCAACGATCCCAATTTATCCAAATAGCTTGGATCTTTACAATTAGGATTTTTGCACTTCATATTCAAATGGCTAGTTTAAAATAATGGAAGCTTTCAAACTCAGTTTTATAGCCTTCCATTTTGTGCTGACATGCACAAGAAAGGGGATTATTCCAGGAACACGCGCCCCCTCGTTGATTCTTAGAAGCCCGGAAGTACAGTCACGCGATTTTCAAGTCACACGATTTTGCAGTCACGCGGATAGTCAATACGAGGAGCGAGCAAAAACAAAAGCAACCTGCAAAATTTCACTTGATTCTTCTGAATTTTGTTTTAAACGACTTAAGGAAGGAATTCACGCATTTTCTTTTTGATTTTTTGGAGTATAAAGCACTCTTCCTAGTTGTCAACGTCGTCGTCACGCAAACAAGGGGAAAAGTACCTTCGTTGTCTTCTTGTAAATTAGAATAATTAAAAATTGGAGTTTGCACTTTTTATTTACGTCAAATAATTCACAAAGAATACCCTTTCTATTGAATGGTCAGTAGAAGCGTAGTCAGCGTTTTTTACTTTATAGTAAGCCTAATAATGTTGGGTTTGTCCCGTCCTAATTGGTTCTTTTACTTTCCCCAATGAAGTTACTAGTATTAGGGAACTTTAGATTTGACGAGTTCCAGATCGAGTACGAGTATTAAGAGTCCACACCATTCCAGTACCTAACTCATTATTCAACTACTAGAGCATTAGGTAACTATATAGATTTGACAGCGAGTTCGGGATTGAGTTCGAGTAAGAGTCGAACTCAATATACAACATTATTATTACATTAATTTTCATCAAAGTTTCTGTAATCATATGATCCATATTTAATGCAACTATTTAATAGATACTGTCCACATTTATTTACAATGATATCTACAATTTCTATTGCTGTTCACTTGATTTTTATGATTACTATGAACTATAAATAGAAACGCGAAAAATGTAATCATGAATAATATTTAAGGCTCGACCCATGCCCTTTTGTAGCCTCGGAAGGAAACAGCAGAGAAGGGCATGGGCAGAGCGATTTTGAAAACATGTTGCCGTAGTATTTGTAGTCATTTCATTATTGCGAGTGTGTATTTTCTAGATTTATTCCTATAATATTGTTTTCATATTAAACACTGACTCGATCATCTTACTCTGATCTAATGCTATGCCAGCTGGCCATCCAAGAAGTCGCGTGCTCCCTTGTGCAAGACCTCTGAAGCTTTTACGTCATAAACCGTATACGCAATGCATTGTAGGATATCTTTGCAACCAAAAACATGGCGGATCTTGTTTTCTCCAGAAATTGATCCCACAATGCATTGCAAACCACGTAGGTGATGTAAAAGCTTTAGCAGTCTATTGAAACTTTCAACAGTATGAATTATGAGAGCAAGGAAATTTCCATGCAATTCAATTATTTATCAAGAATTTTTCTTTTTTTAATCAACCGTTCAAAATTGACGGGCGATTAGTGAAAACAAGGGAGAGGAAACTGGGTACGAGATGGAGTGACCCTCGTTCGCATGCTTGCTTGGACGGAAGCATAGTAGAAATTATTTCGACTATTGTTATTCCTACAGTGTAACTTGAACTGTTTAGATTTGAGTGTCGTCTTTAGGTGACGACATATACTTATTATAAGGCGTAGTGTCCGCCATTGTCGACATTGTCCCCTTTGTCACTCGGCGTGATGAAGAGGAAGACGAAGAAGGCCTTCGGTTTTCAAGCGGTAATTTTGCCTTGATCATGCGCAAAACTTTGGTTTTAAACACAAAGGCCAGAAAAATATAAAGCCCCTGTAAAGTGGTGAAGAAGACGAACGGRTACATGAGACCGTCATGGATAAGCGGGGCACTGATCGCAAAGAACCACGAGAAACCCATCAAGGAAGTTAAGCGCATGTAGATCTTGACTACAGCAGGTCGTGTGTAATGATTGGACTTGACACGCTGTCCGTGTTTTCTAGCACTGGAATTAAAGCAAAATGAAAAACATCACGAGGGTTTTTTATACAATATGTTCTCATCCGTGGGTTTTAAGAGTCAATCTTTACAAAACATATACTCATATAGCATAAAGGAATAATAAAAAGTAAGTTTTTGTTTATACTACGATATCGAAAAGTGTGTTGACCCTGTAAGTGAAATGTGACAACAGCCCTACCTGTTGATCGCGTAGACAGTCTGCGAGAAAGCCACAACGTTGTAAACAAGCACTAAYCCGAYAGGAGTAGCGAACACGATGAGTAAAGCAGTCGGGTTACCTATCCAACATGCCAACCCTTTGCCGTAACCAATGTTAACAACATCTAGGCCRTCAAGGATTGCRCATATYGTRACGAAGATTAAAGGRATWCCCCAGGATATCAACAAATAAACAGCTAGTCGCCTGTTCTGGAAGTACCCGCCAAGTCCATGAGCTTTGCCTGTCTTAGCAGAGAAAGTACGCCTGAAATAGTGAAAGAAAGTGCGTCACAGGCAGCCCAACCATTACTTAAACAACATTCATCTTTACAACATGTGAGTGTGTRAAAAAKAGTTTCCTTCTATGACGTCATCTACATTCATGACCAGAATCCTTTGTGTTCGTTATAATTCGAATGCGCTATAATTATTAGTGAACGATCGTTAACATTTTTCTTTTCAAAAATGAAACTCTAACGTAACAATTAAACAGATCATCTTGAGAAAGATTTCATTTGCTAGTCAATATAAAACAGCTTTTAAAAGTTTAAATTATAAAGTAACGTTTTCAAGCGCAAGCGAAATCGCAAGGAAAATCAAAATTGTAATCACTGGCAAAATCACAGGTKAAATTACAAGAAAAATTACAAGCGAAAGATAGGGAAGTATCAACATTAACATCAACACAAAATCATCATCGTTATTGCATAATTCATCATTATCATCAACATCATCATTAACAGTCTCCAGTCCCACGTGACTGACGGCAAACCATTCAGTGTCTCACCTTGTATCATAAGCCACAATGAAAGTACATCCAAACGTAACCAAAAACAGGTAATGTAAAAAGCACCCAGTGAACCTACAAAAAACTGGTTTATCTGTATCCCCGGAACCGAGTAAGTACCAGAAATGCGCCAGAAACAGAGACAACGACAGGCTCATGAGGTTTTTCCCGGGCAGCGGCGCTCTTAGATCACGGAGTATCCCATGAGTCAAAAGAACGAGGAAGAGGGATATCACTGAGATAGAGAGACCAACGATTGTCATGTAGCGGCGTATAGTGAAGTGAATATCAGTTTTGAACTTGAATTTGTCTGGAGTATCTGTGGAGTTGTCTTTTGAATCTGTGCAGAAAAATCCAAAAAATGGCATTATTTTCTCATTCTTTTTATCATCATTATCAAAATTCCTACCACAAGGACTTATCAAAATTATTAAAGTACATGATGAGGCCCGAAATAGCTATCGCATGTCACGCTTGCTCCTCTTGTTTTAATGTTTTAAGTCCTCATGCAGTAACAGTCATTCACGCATATTCATATTCACAAGATTTCGTTGTTTTGGATAACAATTCCTCAAGTATTGCAGGATTTATTATTAGTATTGGAGAGTGAATAAAAAAAAAGATTTAATTTCCGAAACTATTCGGAAAAATAAGATTTATAATGAATGAGGAAACGTAACATTTGATGAATCATCATTATAATCGTCAATAAATAACTCGTCAAATTACCATCTAATTACAGATAACCCAAGATATCCCAGCATACCTTTGTGCTTACTGATGGTATAGTTTGTACAAATCCAGGTAGTGTTACCCTTTGTATCATACTCTCCCTCRTTATACCACTGACCAGTGGGTTTGAACAGCAGGCTCTTGTTTTTAAAGATGGTGTATTCCTTATCGACCACTGCCAGCATGGAGTGATTGCACAGTACGGTGAATAATGATCTGTTTAGAAAAAGAATTACTCAATATTCAAAACTTTTTATCACTTTTACTTTAATTTATGGCATTACTCAAGGAGAGGCCAGTTTTATTCAGTGCAGACAATAGACCTCTGCAGCTTTTACGTCATGTACCGTATACGCAATGCATTGTAGGACATGTTTGGGACAGAACATGGCGGATTTCTTTTGTTTTCTCTTGAAACTGATCCCACAATGCATTGAAAATCAAGTAGTGACGTAAAAGGTTCAGAACTCTTTTGCTGGGAACTATAACAGTATGGTCTTAGCTTTGATGACGTAACCTTTTTGAACCCAACTACGCTTTTTTAAGATTAGGTATATATATATATATCAGTATTTTTTTTGTTCTCTGTTATAAATGATAAAGGACTGAACTCGCTAGAGACTTGAACCGTTATTAAAATTAATAATTAAAATTATTTTTGTGAGGACCTTCTGACTGACATGAGCGAACCGAGTTGAACTTCCCCCTAAAGTTGCACAGCTTTTTAAAGTTAAAAGTTGGACTTCAAACCCGGACGTCAGCTTATCTCACTCGTCTTGTGTCAGGGTACAATTATTTACCAAATTCAATAATAATTCATAAAAACAATGGAAAATCATTGCTGTGACCGCATCTTTATTTTAGCAAGAGATATGTCCTGATTTACATACGACTTAAACTTCAATTTTCTCTTACAAATGATATTCTATCTTGAAGTTTTTTGCAAAATATAGATTTGCATACGACTTTAACTTCGATTGTCTCTTAAAAATAATATCTATCTTGAAGTTTTTTGCAGAATATAGAGTAGCTTATGTTGGATATTTGATAAGCAATGTGATATATTCGCGTCCGACCTTTATGGGCTTTAAAACTGCTCGCTTGCAGTTCGTAGTTTTAAATGCCCATAAAGATCTCGCTCATATTTTATGTTTTATATATTACTTAAGATATTTTACCGGAAACTAAAACACTCGTATTTTAAATATTTTCACTGGTGAAGCTTTGAAAAAGTTATGTACCAAAATGTTCCGGATGTACGCGCGCGTCAAATAAAAACAACTTTCCCGCTCATTTCTACTTGTCACTTTAGTTTGTCCATTTAATAAAAAGAACATTACATGTCGGCTTGAAGATATGAACTTTATTTTATTTATTTATGTTTTTTCATTGAAAACAAAATTCATATCTTCGCGCCACCGTTTAAAACCCTCTATATCTTCAATTCGAGTGATACAAAACTGCACTAGACTCATACTGAAATAATTAGTACAACTGTATGTCACTTTTTGTGGAGAACAAACACGAGATACAACAAGACTTCAAATTGTTTTGAAACACTGAAACATCTCTTCACACGGATTGCTTTTTCAGTTTGATTGTTTCATAATGAGCTGACAACAATTTGGTTATTTCTTCACAGAGTGTTTTCCACTTTTCGCCATGTTCTTCTACGCTGATCCTGTCCGGATGGTAGTATGTTATAGCTTTCTTGAACAAAGCTTCGACTTTCTCCATCTTATCTGAATCTGAATCTATTCCCTTCCAACTTCCGATCTCTTCATCAGTTGGTTTTTCCCACTTTGGATGTGTGGGAGGAAAAGACTTGTAGACGTAGATGAGAAACGCTATTTTCCCTGTGTTATTTTTCTGCAGATTTTGCATCTCTTCTTTAATCGCTTCCAGCCTTTTTTCTCTTTCCTTTTGTTGTTCTTTTTCATCATAATTTCGTTCTTCTATCTGGAATTCCTGTAAAGTCGAGACGATTTCCTGATACCACGGTTGAGTGAAAAAGGTGCGAGGTTTCATGGACTCAACCAACTCAAAACTCTTCTTATAATACGTCTTAGATCTCTGCCTTAGTTTCAAGACTTTATTGTAGACGTGGCCAAGCCGGCCAAGTGCAATGGCTTCCTGCTCGAGGTCAAGCTCTCTGGCGAGGATGACAGCTCTCTTGTACCAATCTATCACATCCCAGACGATATCCATGTTCAGATTTTCTTCTTCTTTCAACGCTGTTTCCAGCAGCTCCGAGCCACAATATCGAGCTTGGACCGATTCGGCAGTGCATGTTGTGTAGAACACATCTTTTTC